TTTTTTTTTTTTTTTTTTTTTTACTTTATACAAATGCTATCAGCTGAAACTTTATTGGTTATTTGATAGTAGATAATAATACATATTGTGAGAGTATAACTAGTCACATATACAACTTTAGATTATCTATTTAAGTAGTTCACCTGAAGGTTCTATACTAGTTGCAATATCTGAAATCTATTTGAAGATTCTCTATTTAAACCCTCTAGCCCTATGACTTACCTGTTTCTATCTATTTTATACCAAGATAGTCTAACCCTATGCTACTTCTTCAAGAAGACACCCAAGCTGACATATGTCTACAAACTTTATGATTCAAAGTCTAGACCCATCTCAGATACCCCTTCACCAACTTCCTAATTGATAGGTATTGTAGTACCCAACTATACTATATTATATCCCAATCTAGCTTGTATATACCCTTGTTCAATATTCGTACAAACCTAGTTCCTACTATGGCTTTCCATTAGATTATTATCTGTGCCTCCAAATATCATATGAGATAGGCCCTCTCAGATTTGGTTACTACTCAGACTGGTGCTGCTGAAAGTTGTATATGCCTCCAGATATTATACAGAATTAAACTTTATACTCACTTCAATAATTTATTAAATGATCAAATGATTACAATTAATTGTATATATATTCATTTAAAACATAATTATTAAAGTGAGCAGAATTAAACTTCATACTCATCTAATAATTTACTGAATAATTAAATAATTATATTTAATCATATATATATGCTTTCAAAATATAATTATTAAAGCAAACAGAATTAAACTTCATACTCACTCTGATAATTTACTAAACTATCAAATAATTACAGTTAATTATATATATTTTTTTTCAAAACACAATCATTAAAGCAAATAGAATTAAACATCATACTCACTCTGATAATTTACTGAACTATCAAATGATTATAGTTAAGTATATATATATTTTTTTAAAACATAATTATTAAAGCAAACTTTATACTTATTCTGACAATTTACTGAATATTCAAATAATTATAGTTAATTATACATATATTTTTTTAAAGTATAATTATTAAAGCAAACAAAATTAAACTTTATACTCACTCTGATAATTTACAGAATAATTAAATAATTATAGTTAATCATATATAAGGTGAAATAGGGTATTGTGACGAAGTTAGAATTATTATATATAAAACTTCACACTTACCATGTAAATCTACAAATTTTTTTAAATATATTTGAACTGAAGCTCAATTTAGATTAGATTTTATATAAATTCTTATTGTATAATATACCAGTTTTGGATATAATAATCATTTTGTACACGGGACCAAAAAGTAGGATTTTAGGAAGAGTGAGGGTATTGTGCTGAAATTTAAATTTAAGCATAAAAAATTTTTTTCTGCTTTATTAACATTAACACATGAGCTTATAAGCTATAATTTTTGATCTAAATCTTAGTCGAATAAGACTTTTAGTACTCTTCACTATGTTCTAGCTTTATGGTTTTCTTTTTCTTGTTTCTTTCGCTCAAGTGTTTCTCTTTTTTGTTCTAACTTTTGCTGTCATTCGATCTTTTTCTAGGCCACCAACTCTTTCTTCTGAGCTACCAGCTCTTTTTTCTAGGCCACTAGTTCTTTTTTTCTCTTAGCTTCTTCGATCTTCTTTTCTGCTTCTTCATTTGCTTTTTTTAACTTCTCCAAACTTTCTTCATTCGTAAGAAGGCATGCAAATAGAAGTGTCTTTCTTTTTTTAGGAGTGGAACCAGACTCAGAAGAATCTAAAGTTTCAACCTGTAGGGCATGAGAGAAATTGTACTTGAGAACCGAATGCAAAGAACTTGTTCCGGGATATTTATAGGTTTCTAATTCTTCTTGTGTTGCTGTAAATTGAATTTTTAGTAATTCAACTTCATTTTTAAGCATTTTATTTTCTAACATTAACTGTTCGAAATTTGTACGAGTATAATATGAATGATTGGGTTAAATAGTTAATGGCGAAAGTAATATAGTCAGTTATGAAGATTGACTAGACGAAGGTACTACATTAGTCACTAATGAAGGGTCAATACAGTTTGTTAAGGGTTGACTAGATGAAGGCACTATATCAAATCGTTCTGTCACCAATGAAGGATTCAAGCGATCTGAGCTAATAGCCTTAGGGTTAAATGGCCATATGCCTGTAGTTTTAAAAGCATTACAAATAGCTGATGGTGTATAGGTTTCAATAAAGGCTGGGCCAAGAATTTTTGCGAAAGTATACTTTGTTACCACTTTTTTAGTAATATTATGATACTTATCAATTTGTTTACCAAATTCCTTTTTTAGTTTTGCAAAAGGAATTTCGGATGGTTGTAAGATATGCGTCATGTGAGGTGGAAGCGTGAAAAGAAGAATTTCGTTTTGGTGACAAAAATCAACACACGAATAGCTAATATAGCTTTTATGGCCATCAAGCATGAGTAATATAGGACGTATTGGGGGAATTGAGTTAATGAAGTGAGTAAGATACATTTGGAAAAGGTCTTCATGCATATACCCAGTTACTGTAAAACCCATTACTGTTCCAGAAGGTGCATCTTGTAATAAACCGGATATTGCATGAATACCTTTATAGATAATCAGAGGTGGAATGTATAAACCAGCAGCTGAGATTGTAGGAGCAACTGAGATATGTTCATAAGAATTTCCGTGAGCAACTTTATGAACCTGACATGAACCTTTTTGTGCAAGAACTTTATCTAACTTAGGTACAAGGAAGAACCCGGTCTCGTCCATATTCCAAATTTGCATCGCAGTAAGTGAATTTTCATTAATAATTTTTTTAAGTTTATCAAAATAATCTCCAACTATGGTTGCATTGGCTCTTTGTACCTGAGCTTCGGACAATTTTTGAGGAACACAAAATGATAGCCCTAGATGATCTCTCATAAATCTAGTCCACTAATCTCGACCTGGTCCTTTATCTCCAAAGGGGTGTGGCTTTTTATTGCACTGCAATATTTCCATTACACAATAGTTAACACCAGACTTAGTCAGACCAAACCCAAGCTATTGCAAATTTATGCAATAGCCAACAAGTTGGTTTTCCTCATATTCTGTAAGGATAGTAGATGGACCCCAGCGATTGGGTGGACTTCTATTTTTAAATGCATATCGTAAGGTAGCTTCAGGAAGTCCAAAATCTTTGGCTACACTATTGATACTTGGACGTTTATAGTTAACAGGATATTTATTTAACTCATTAATTGCTGCAGAAATTGTATCTCGTTGATTAAGGTAAGAAATTTCAGGCATTTTACAGGTTTAATCTATATAATATAATAAAAAAAAATAATAATGAAACAAAAGCGCAATTAATTTAAGAGAATGAAGGATATGATTAATTTAATAGAAAATAAATTATGTAATAAAAAAAAAATTTAAATTTAATAAAAAAAAAATATTAAAAAAGAATTAATTTAATAATTTACAAATAAGTGCAAGAATGTTAAATAAATAAAATATAATAATGAAAAAAGCGCTATTTAAAATTGTAATTTAAAGTATAATTGGTTTTGTTAGAGAAAAGTGACTTTACGAAAGTATGCAAGATCTGAATAAAATTTTAGTCATCTGATATTTTAATTAAACTTTTTGTTTAGATAATTAAAATTTTATGCAATTAAATATCAAACCGCTTTCATGACAAAGATTCCAATTAATCAACTTCAATAGCAAAGCCTGGACTATATTAGATCCAATGACTTAAATACAAGCTAATATCGGCATTACTTAAACAGTTTTTTTTTTTTTTAAAAAAAAAAAAAAAAGCGATTAAATATAATGAAAATTAACAAACTTTGCAAAGGTAAAGCGGACTTGATAATTGCAAACATTATGAGAACAACGTGACTAACTTTATATTTAAGTAATACAGGAAAACGAATGTGACACACAAGATTATGGGCATGCAAATGATCGAAAGTTTTTTTTGTTTTATTTGTTTTACTGATTTGGTATGCTATTTATCTGTCTTTTCTTTTAAATAGTTATACTTATAATACATGAATATTAATATAAAATGATCTAAAAAGTCAATGATATTAATATTCGTCACAATACCCCCCTTAGTCACAATACCCCATTTCACCTTATATTCTTTTGAAATATAATCATTAAAGTAAACAGAATTAAACTTCATACTTATTCTGATAATTTACTAAATAATCAAATAATTATAGTTAATCATATATATATTCTTTAAAACATAATTGTTAAACTAAACAGAATTAAACTTTATACTCATCTTAATGATTTACTAAATAACTAAATGATTATAGTTAATCATATATATATTCTTTTAAAATATAATTATTAAAGTAAGCAGAATTAAACTTTATACTCACTTTAATTCACAATTTAATAACTATAATATATTGTTATAGTTTATATTAAATTATATTTTTATATAGTTAAAGTTAAAAAAATTATTATAGTTTTATTACTCTTTATTTTAACTACTAATATTTATAATAGGTTGAATTAGTTTTTTTTTTTTTTTAAAAATTTTGACCTTGTGGTTAAGGTGAGGTCTTGTTTTTATCTTTATTAATAATTATATAGTTACTCTACATTTCAACTAAATCTAGAGCAAGATGGCTTAAACGCCCCAATCCTAAATGACATGCTTGACTCAAGACTTATCTCAATATGGATTAAACTCCTCTCTAGAGACTGCTTCTGGGC